TTTATGTTCTGGAGGTGGAATAGATCTAATTTTTTGACAGTAGGATAAATGAGATCAATGATAACTATATTTTTAATAACAGCTTTCAGATGCCCATGCTTCACTTTTGCACATGCTGTTGAATTTGACCAATAAACCTTGTTACCTTTTTATCACTCAGGCCAGTCACCTGGTCCACATATTCCTCTTGAATCATAAATGCGGCCAGGTTGGCAGTGTAGCTGGCCAGGAAAATCACAGCGAAGAAGGCCCAGACCGAGACCATAATCTTGCTAGTAGTGCCTTTGGGGTTCTGCACGGGCACAGAGTTATTGAAGACCAAACCCCAAAGTAGCCAAATAGCTTTTCCAATGGTGAAGGAAGGACCGCCAGGCTCTGATGGTATGTAAAGAGGTAGAGAAATTGAAATAGAGAGTTATTACTTTATAATTTAATAGGAATAAGAGAGGAGTAAAAGGGCAGAGGAAGAAAATCCATAAGAAGTAGCCATAAAATAACTATTCAGTTTTGATTTTAGTCAAAAGAATCAATAATATTCAGACAATTAGTGGACTGCTGAAACCAGCCAATACAGCACAGAAAGGTGGATATAATGTCCATTATAGTCATTAAATGTGTGTGTGTATATATATATATATATATATATATATATATACACACACACACACACACACACATTTAATGATTATAATTATTAACAATTTTTAGATGGCTAGAAAATTAAGACATAAAACTACATATACCAAATGTATGCTGGTGTTATGTATAAGGGCTATAGATTTGTGTGTGTGTGTGTGGGATGGGAAAGCGTGTGTGCACACCTCGTCCATCTGCCAAGCAGCGATTATATCCAACAGGACTGAAGTACTCAAAAATGAAGACAGCCACAGCTGAAACTATCAACAGCATAACGAACATCATTACCCAGACATCAGCGCTGAAGGGCTCTGAGTGCAAAAAAAAGAAGGGAAAAGAAATTAAGAGTGCACTTGAATTTAGAATTTTATCATTAATGCCATTACATTATTTAGTGTATTTAGTACTTACCTAAAAAGGCAGAAGGTGACACTGTGCCATTGCTACGAGAGACCATGACACTAATTCCAGTCTCTATAAAGGGCACAGAGAAGTCAATGACCTCTGACCTCTCTTCATTAATGGTCAGGGACCCCACTGCCATGTGGGCATTCTTCAACACCACCTAGACATGAGGAAAAGGGGCAGTTATACCGAACCTGGACTAGTCTGGGCATGCCGCGACAGAAGGGGAAAAAAGCAACAGTGTGAGAAGAAAAGGCTGAAAGACATATAAAATGGGAACTAGTGAATGAGAATACCATGAAGAAGAAAAAACAAGACTGTGAGACCAAGGAAGGTAGAAATCAGGTTACTTCCTACAGTGGGGTGCAGTAGCTTTTAATAGCCATTTCTCCTTCTTTTCAACATTTCCCTAATCACTGCATCCCTAAACCCATCACTTGGCCAGGTATATTTAGAGTTACATATAAGGGGCCTCCGGTGATGTAGGAAAATGGGACAAAACAGAGTTAATAAGGAGAATATATGCTACAGGAAGGCTTTGTCTACATCAGGCCTACTCATGGGGCCCCAAAGCCGGATCTCTTTAGCCTCGAGGGCTGCACTCCTAATTTTTATAGTGCCTCTGTTATATTAATAAGGCTACTGAGTGTTATACACAACCATGTCTCAAACTAAATCACTTCCATTATAATCAATGAACCTGTACTGTAAGCGGTCATCTGTGGCACAGTTTGCAGAGTGGACTATAGATTTCTGCTTGGTGTCAGATTTTTTAAAAATTGCTCAATGGATTTACCATGGTATATAGTAGAATCTCTAAAAACATGCGGGCCACAAGAATGCCCTGTGGGCTGCATGTTGAGTAGTTGCTTTCTATATCCTATTTTCTTTCTCTGCCTTTTCAAAATATGAGACTATATTTTGCATATTTGCTTGATTATGTGTTGCATTATAGCATCTATCACTGAACATGAGCATGTCTTGGAGCATTGGATCTCGTAAAGACATTAAGTAAACATAAAGCAAGCTACTACGAGTCTGCGGCTCCAAATGTGGTGCAGTTCTCAGAGTATTCCTATGACTAGGACCGAAAGGGAACTGCATAACATTCATTTCAACTGTGGATTTACATATGATCCTGTAACTCATATTATTTCTCATCTGAATTAATGCACCAGCTGTATTTTCCCTTGGGCTTATGCAAACTCACTTGCTCACATTTTCTCTCTCTTTCATCTGTTCTTGTCATGAGAGACACTTTTCAGAATTAATTTTTTTTTTAAATAATATGAAATATATGAATGAATCAATATATATAATGAATCAATATATGAATCAATGAAATAAAATATATTGAATATATATATATATATATATATATACATACAATATCTAAAAATGATTCACCTCAAATTAATGCAGAAATATATATTTAAAATTGATCAAAATTTGTTAAACCGTTGCCAGCAGTAACAGTAATGTACTGTAATATGCATAACTACAGCATGAAAAAAACAAATCATACAGTTGAATATGCTCCTCTCATCCATAATATGCAGGGGTATAATAGAACAGGAAGAACAAAAGTGTATGATCCAGCAAGCTCTTGAATGAGAAACAGCCTATTCAACCCAAACTCTATGTGTTTGAAGAGAACGTCTCGGTTACGTATGTAACCCTTGTTCCCTGAAGGAGGGAACGGAGACGTCACGACGGTGACCGACGAATTGGGATCTCGCTTGGAGAGACCAATCCACTTCGAGTGTAAACTAAACGAGCCAATGCACATTGGCATGCGATGATTGTATCCAGCTGCCCGCTGATCACAGCGTGAGCATAAAAAGGCAGCCGGTGCAACGCATACCAGGTTTTTGCTGAGGAGCCGAGTCGGTGACCCGGCCGCTCAGCAGTGGTACAGCAGCCGTGGCGACGGGATGTGATGTCTCCGTTCCCTCCTTCAGGGAACGAGGGTTACAAACGTAACCGAGACGTTCCCTTTCAGTCGGTCACTCCGAGTCACGTCGGTGACCGACGAATTGGAATCCCTACCAAAGCGCCATGGATGCTGCCCCTTCCAGTGTCCTGTGCGAGCCACCTGCGCCCCTTTGTGGTGTAGGCCGGGGCTCGCAACAAGAAGACCAGTCACTGTTGTCATAGCACTACCCACTCAGTGAGATTGGATAACACTGGGAAAACGTACCCGTTCCACTTGGAGCAGGAACGTTGCGGAAGCACTTACACATATGACATCCGTTTAGGTGCATATAGAAGATTAGAGGTGATTGTAACCCTCAGGGAAATGGCAGAAGTCTGCCGGGGAAACACGGGCTCTGAGGCTTTACCGTGGACTTTACACATATGGGAACCACTTAGGCCTCTACATATGGAACCCAGCCCTCTACCGGTTCTCACGGATTCATCGAGTGAGGGCCTGGCGCCGGACGTTCCACCACATCTGGCTGCCGAGGGGATGGAGGAGCTCGACAGTGCCTACAGTACGGAGACTCAGGAGCAGTTTTAGCAAGCCGACACACGGGGCCTCTCAGTGCCTCTACCCGATTGAGGTGAGAACACAGGAGGATACCGGCTCCACACGAAGGCTATAGAATCTAGCGAACGTGTTGGGGGTCACCCAGCCCGCAGCTCTACAAATATCTGTCAGCGAGGCACCACGAGTCAGCGCCCAGGAGGATGCAACACTGAGCAGGCAGGGCACACCCTGTGCCTGATAAGCCAGGGTGATGGCATCCACAATCCAGTGGGCCATCCTCTGCTTAGAGACGGCCTTCCCCTACTACCAGCCTCCATAACAGACAAAGAGCTGGTCTGAGGTCCTAAAGCTTTATGTCCGGTCTACATAGCATCTCAAGGCTTGGACGGGACAGAACAAAGCTAGGGCTGGATCTGCCTTCTCCGGGGGCAGCGCTTGCAGGCTCACCACCTGATCCCTAAAGGGAGTGGTGGGAACCTTGGGCACATAGCCGGGGCCTCAGGATTACCTGGGAGTCAGCCAGCCCAAACTCTAGGCACGAATGGCCAACCGAAAATGCATGCAGGTCCCCTACCCTTTTGATGGAGGCCAGTGCAAGCAGGAGCAGAGTTTTTATTGAAAGAAACTTTAGCTCGACTGGCTGCAAAGGCTCAAATGGGCCCTGCTGTAGTGTTTTAAGCACCAGAAACCGGTCCCAAAAGGGTATAGAGGAGGGCCGGGGAGGATTTAACCTTCTGGCCCCCCTAAGGAACCTGATGACCAGATCATGCTTTCCTACCGACTTCCCTTCCATGGGGTCATGGTTAGCAGCAATCGCAGCAACATATACTTTAAGGGTGGAGGGAGACAGCCTTTGCTCCAACCCTTGCTGCAAAAAGAAAAGCACGACCCTGATCGGGCATCTCCAGGAGGTCTTCTCAGTGAGAAGAACACCACTCGATGAACAGGTTCCACTTCAAAGCGTAAGCGTGTCTCGTAGACTGTGCTTTCGCCAAAGTGATGGTGTCAACTACCTCTTGGGGTAGGTCACCTAGAACCTCCGCGTCCTGTCCAGGGACCAGACATGAAGTTTCCAGAGGTCTGGACACGGGTGCCACAGGGTGCCCCTTCTCTGAGTCAGTAGATCCTTCCTCAGAGGAATCTGCCAGGGAGGGGCTGTCGCGAGGAGCATTAGTTCGGGGAACCAGGTCCGAGTGGACCAATACGGCGCCACAAGCAGGACCTGCTCCTCGTCCTCCCTGACCTTGCATAACGTCTGTGTGAGAAGGCTCACTGGGGGAAACGCATACTTGCGCAGGCCCTGCGGCCAGCTGTGTGCCAGTGCGTCCGTGCCGAGCAGTGTTGGGCAGTAACACATTACTTAGTAACGCGTTACTGTAATTTGATTACTTTTTTAGTAACTTAATGCTTTATAATTTTCAAAATAGTAATTAGAGTATAGTTACAAGACGAGGTCTCTATACGTTACTGCCGCATTACGTTGCTGACAGAATGCAGTGTTTTATAATCTAGAGATTGTAAAAAAGGATTTAGCACGCGCACTGTCGAGTCCAGTGCCAGTGGATTAGAGACCTGCTCCCGCGAGACCCAATGCAACAGAGTGCGACGCGGGACAAGATGGGCAAGTGCTGGTGAGGCGGGTAGACGCTCTTGTGTGTGCGAGTTGCGGGAGAATAAAATGATTCACAGGCCTCCTGCAAAATAGACATTTCTAAACATAAAATATCTAAAACAAATAAATTGTTATTCATCTATTGCACAAAAGCAACATGAACTAATATAAAATAAAAATGATTAACAGGTGCAAGCTTATGCACAGTTTCTATTTAGGCTATAACACATGTTTGCAGTGTTGAGCAATGCAGTGCTGAAATGTGCGTGCTCACGAATCCTCTCATTATAACACACGAATTGTAAACATTATGAAATATTCATTATGCATATATTTGTTGTGTTATAACAGAGATTTGTGATATTGCGGTGAACTGAGGTGTATTTTAGAGATTATAAAAGCATCGCTCTTTGATGGCATTCTGCCATGCCAAACCATGCACGCAACAGTCGCTTGCTTTAGTTAAAAATAACAGTGTTCTGTGAATGTTGATGCTTTAATAACAAATATTTATCGGGAGCGTGTATGTTGGGATTTCATAAATTTCATGGAGAAAAAAGTAACGTAACTAGTAATGTAACTAATTACTTTTGAAATTAAGTAATCAGAACAGAAATATTGCACAAAAGCAACATGAACTAATATAAAATAAAAATGATTAACAGGTGCAAGCTTATGCACAGTTTCTATTTAGGCTATAACACATGTTTGCAGTGTTGAGCAATGCAGTGCTGAAATGTGCGTGCTCACGAATCCTCTCATTATAACACACGAATTGTAAACATTATGAAATATTCATTATGCATATATTTGTTGTGTTATAACAGAGATTTGTGATATTGCGGTGAACTGAGGTGTATTTTAGAGATTATAAAAGCATCGCTCTTTGATGGCATTCTGCCATGCCAAACCATGCACGCAACAGTCGCTTGCTTTAGTTAAAAATAACAGTGTTCTGTGAATGTTGATGCTTTAATAACAAATATTTATCGGGAGCGTGTATGTTGGGATTTCATAAATTTCATGGAGAAAAAAGTAACGTAACTAGTAATGTAACTAATTACTTTTGAAATTAAGTAATCAGAACAGAAACGTGATTAATTTTAAAAGGAGTAATCAGTAATCAGTAATTTGATTACATTTTCAGAGTAACTTGCCCAACACTGGTGCCGAGTGAGAACAACTGGCAGTGAGAGGTTTCTGGAGAGGCAAACAGGTCTACCTGAGCGGCTCCGAAATGTCTCCAAATCAGCTGGACCGTCTGGGGATGGAGTTTCCATTCTCCCGGGAGCGTAGCTCGTGACAGCTCGTCAGCCGTACAGTTGAGCAGACCCGGAATGTGAATGGCACGAAGTGACCTCAGAACCTTCCGACTCCAAATGCATGCGACGGGAGTGCAGACCACCCTGTCAGTTGATGTTCGCAGTGGTCGCCGTGTTGTCCGTTCGGACCAGCACGTGCTTGCCTCATAAGCACCCTTTGAGACGGTTCAAGGCAAGGCGCACTGCTAACAACTCTAGGCAATTGATATGCCAGTGCAGTTTGAGGCCCGTCCATACCCCGACACTGCGTTCCCGTTGTACGTGGCCCCCCCAGCTGGTGGTGGAGGCATCCGTGTAAACCACAGGATGCCTGAGTGCAGTTGGGGGCCCGTCCATACCCCCGACACTGCGTGCCCGTTGTACGTGGCCCCGGTGAGTGCCGTGCTGCCACGCCCACCTCGGGACTCGGCCATGAAGCCAGTGCTGGAGTGGTCTCATATGAAGACGTCCCAGCGGCGTAACTGCCGCTGCAGCTGCCATATGCCCCAGGAGCCTCTGAAATAGTTTCAGTGGGACCGCTGTCCTGCCCTTGAACGAATTCAAGCAGTTCAGCACCGACCGCGCACATTCCTCTGTGAGACGTGCTGTCTGTTCGACCGAATCTAAGGGCCCAGTTCAAGACGCGCAGATCCAAGATTGGTCGTAACCCACCGCCTTTCTCGGGTACAATGAAGTAAGGGCTGTAAAACCCTGTATTCATATCGGCTGGAGGGACTGGCTCTATCGCATCCTTTGCCAGTAGGACTGCGACCTCCACACAAGACAGGAGCATCGGCCGCCTCTGAACTTGGGGGGATGCCGGGCGAACTGAATTGCATTATATCCGCAGAAGCCAACGAGACGGGTTGGATAGCGCTAGCCAGGCTCCCAGATAACGTGCAAGCGGAACCACCGCCGTACCCGCAGTGGGGCAGCAAGGTGGAACGCAGGGACCCAACTCGGGCAGCTTGTGAGCGGACCGTGCAACGGTCTGAGTGTGCAGTGCAACTCTTACCTGGTTCCACAGTTTGGCAGAGGGTGCGTGAGTATGGCCTTTGTTGACGCTCTCGAACTGCCCGCTGCTGCCTGCTGGTGATGGAGAAGGATGAGTGTGGTCTGGTGCTGGTCCGTCCGTGACTCTCCGTGCCCTCCTGGGACCCAGGGACAGAGAAAACCGCTCTCTCGTCGAGATTTTCCAGATTCTCCACCCGGCCCTCCTCCGGGGGAGGGAGAGGTGCCTTCACCATTGCCCAAAGAGCAGCTTCCTCCCTCTCTGGTTCACCCGTCCCGGGGCCTCTTGCTCTTGGGACCCAGGGACAGAGAAATCCGCTCTCTCATCGAGATTTTCCAGATTCTCCACCCTGCCCTCCTCCGGGGGATGGAGAGGTGCCTTCACCATCGCCCAAAGAGCAGCTTCCTCCCTCTCTGGGTCACCCATCCCGGGGCCTCTTGCTCTTTCGCTCACCGCCAGGTTTGACGGGGGCCTGGACGGGTGGGGCAGCCTGCCTACGCCCAGCTCCATGGCGCCGCTTGCTGGGGGCTGCTGCAGATGCGCTGCCGGAGCAAGGGTGGCTGCACGGGGCCGCCCTCTGCGACAAGCAGGCTGGGGTGCTGCGGCCAGCGGATGGGTGGAGGCAGCAGCTGGCCACTGGGGCAGGGTGTGACGACCTGCCTCAGTCTGCTCCTGTGCATCCGAGAGCTGCTGGGCCAAGCTCTCGACCGCGTCACTGAAGAGGCCGGTCTGCGCGAGCGCGAGGTCAGTAGTGGTTCGGAGCTTTTTCAGAACTTCCGGATCATGACAACCCTCGTGCAGGTCCCTCAGTGCCTTGGCCTGATGAACCTGCAGTAACGCCGTAGCGTGTAAAGCGGAGGCAGCTTCTCCACAGGCCGTATAAGCATGGCCGGACAGGCCAGACAAATACATACAGACCCGGGAGGGGAGGCACGGTTCGCCCTGCCGGGTGGAGGCGGTATTAGGACACAATTGCATTGCAACCGACCGCTCTAACGGGGGGACCCTTGTATACCCCCTAGCTGCACCACCGTCGAGGGTGGTGAGGGAGGAGGAACCTGCAGGTCGGTTTCCGACAGTAAAAGGTGCCATTCATGACCTGGTGAGCTCCTCATGCACCTCCGGGAAGAAAAACACTGAGGCGGGGCACTGAGAACCAGCGCGAACCACCCCGAGAAACCAATCATCCAACTTTGAGGGCCTGGGACGCGGTGGAGGTTTCCACTCGAGCCCTACCCTCTCGGCGGACCCTGGAAAGCATAGCCGCCATCTCTGTATCGATTCAGGCCTTTCCACCTTCTCGGAGGGCGGCAGCGCAGCCGAATCGAGCTCTCCCTCCGATGCAGTGATCGACATCTGGTCATCGGGAGGAGCACTGAAGGATACCGCTGGTACGCTCTTTGAAGAGGGTCCAGCGCGTTCCTTTGGTGGCTCAACTGGTTGCGAAGCACTAGAGGAGCGATGGTCCCCTGAGGGTTGGTTCCCTGAGGGGTTTGCCACCACTGTAACCCTCAGACCCTACTGCCCGTAGTAGTCCACGCCTGGCTGCCGCCAGGACGAACACTAGATCGCGGCAGATGCAACGGAGCTCCGCACTCCTGGAGGGAACGGAGCCTGGCCCGCCGATCCGAGATGGTCATCTTCCCGCAATGGGAACATGACTCATCCGCGAACACCACCTCAGCGTGTTTAATGCCCAGACATGTGAGGCAGCGATCGTGACCATCACCCGGCGCCAGGTAATGACCGCATCCAGAAACGCACGGGTGAAACAGCATCTTTAAAAAGACGATCCGTCATCTTTACAAAGACGCACCCACTTATTGTACTCTTTTAGAGAAATTAGCTCTTTTAGGGAAATGCTCTTTTACGTGCTGAGACGCACAGGGGAAACGGCCGTTTGCAGCACAACAGGGGGGTAGTGCAGCCTGAAGTGCGAAACCCACTCAACACAGGAACGACCACTGCTAAAATGCCGTCTGCCAACACAAAAAGCTCCCGAGAGTGCGCAAGACTTGTCACACACGAAGAAGTCTTGTAGGAACTTTGGTAGCAGAACGATGATGTCGCTCGGCTCCGAAGCGAAAAGCTGGTATGCATTGCACTGGCTGCCTTTTTATGCTCACGTTGTGATCAGCGGCAGCTGGATGCAATCATCGCATGCCAATGTGCATTGGCTCGTTTAGTTTACACTCGAAGTGAATTGGTCTCTCTAAGCGAGATCCCAATTCGTCGGTCACCGACGTGACTCGGAGTGACCGACTGAAAGGGAACCAGAGGTTTTTTACTAAAAGCATTTTGAAACTAACCTCTCCAACCATGCCATTCCATGTGCCGTTGATCTTTTTGCCGTGCTTCCCATTGGTCACCAGGTAGAGATCGTAGGTGAATTTTACAGACTTGGCAATCTTTTTGAGGATGTCTATACAGAAGCCCTTGCAACAGCGTTTAATGTAGATCCCTGAATCTCTTGTCTGATTTCTAGAAATAGGAAAACAGGAAGAAAAAGTTAAGAAGATTAATGTTAGCACAGGACGTTATTTTTCTAAATACTGAAGACAGCGTTTAACAAATTTTGCCTTATAGCTGTTCATCAATCCTTAATCAAAATACCATTTCATAATAAATCTGCATCTGAAAAATCAATCAATGAGTCATCGTAACATCAAAATGATTAATGACCACTGCACTGACTATTGCATTGACTACACTGGAACCAGAGACTTAAATTTGTCAAAATTCACTTTAATCCCAGATCATTTCTCATAATAAATGAGTGTTTTAGCAATAATTTATTAAAAGAATGCTAAATGAATTTAACACTAATTTAACACATTTTATAATCAATATTAAAAAGAGACATGAGGTACCAGTTCCAATCCATAAATAATCTGTGTTTTACATTAATAGTACAATACTGTATACACCACACTTTCTTACTATATGATATAATCTAGACCTGACAGTGACAGAACACCTTGAACTTGAAAACTGAATGGAGGATCTGTACTTAGTGCTCTCATGAGACAAATCTGCATTTTGGCAGTCAAGATTAATGACTGGTCTCATATTGATCTCATGCAATGACTGATTTTAGATAGCATATTTAAGATATTTTACCAATAGTATGCAGCTTTATCCATCTTGGATATGGTTAAGCAAATCTTCACAGACATACAGACGGTGTGGTATGCCTGAGACCACTGAAAAAACTTTATTTTTCATTTTTCTTATTTGGTCTCTTAGTATTTAGAATTTTTAAAAATCCTACAACCTTCTGTTTATTTCCAGGTTTAAATATTTTCATTGTCCAATTTTTTGGACCTCACTGTATTCATCTGTGATTTAGACAAGTTTTGTAACACTTTCAGTCTACAACTTATAACATCTGCTGTGAAATCTGAGACAAATCTGAATTTTGAACCAAACTGCAGCACATTTTCTGAATATCTGTACTGAATATCTGTTCCTATTGGATCCTCACAGGAGTTTGAGCTGTTTTCTGCACGGCACTGTATTTCTCATACAGGTGCCACTGAGGGGGTCAACATCCTCCACAATAACAAATGGAGCCTCCTCCAGCGTAACAATGGACAGGTGGTCGTCCTCCCGCTCCTCAGCATCTGAGTAGATCTCAAACCGTGGCCACACGTGGTACTTCATTGTCAGAGACCCATTCTCCCATTTACCGACCTGCGAAAGTGTAAAGAGGGCAAGATGAGAGCAGAAAATGAGAGAAGGATAACGAGTGAGATAATGAGAGGGTGTTGAGGCTGAAGTGGCTGCGATTGGATTAGAGTAGGCTAAATTTGAGGATGGCTGAAATCTTGAATTAAGATAAAGAGAGATATAGAGTAAATGAAGGTTGATAATTACATCAGGGAACTGTGCAGTCATGAGTTAAGAGAAATCAAGAGGCAAAAGAGAGAAATGAGGAAAGATACCCACCCTTTCATACTGCCTCTCCTTATTTAACAGTATAATAACCAACTTTGGGTGCATCTGAAAACCATCCTCACTGAAGGAGAGGTTGCGCCCTTCAAATGTCACATTCATGAGATACCTGAAGAGAAAACAGAGTGAATATATCAGACCAAACACATTTGGTGATTATTAACACAAAGGCACCTTCCTCGCTTAAACCTGTATAGCATAAATATTTTCAGAACGAGTCGAAGCAATTTACAGGATCCCTCAATGTCAGCATTTTACATGGCTTTCTGGTGTACCTAGTATATGGGTTCCTGCACACTATCCGCATATGTCCACACACATTTATAATGCAGGAAAGCAGGTTTGTTGCTAGAGGCTATAGCAAATTATATTCACAATGGCAAATGTGAATCTGGCAGCCTCCTGGTCACAAAACCACTATTATGACTTTTAAATCCACCCAGTTGGAGAGTCTTGAGGAGCGGGTATGGCTTTAACCTTAAAAAAATACAGTAGTCATGAACCCAATAAAATATAATAATCCAGGGAAAAACATTTATTACAGAGTGATATTACATATCAGATCTGATAACCGATATCCTAGCTTTTAGTCAGTCATCCAAGAACACATTAACAGCAACTTTTTACTTGAAAGTAGCATATTTCAATATTATAATTATAAACCAGTTTGCTGCATCTTGAAACAATTTGGCTTTGTATTTGCTTGGAATGGATGCTCTGGATGAGACAGCAAGCACTGCATGATGAATAGTTTCATCCAAATGTCAAGTTTTTTCCAAAAACAGCATGCTTGACCTCCATCACTTAGGAATTAATCCTTGTCACGCAACCTTACCAGAGCATCTTGAACATTGCCTTAGATCGTTTTTGTCATGTTCAGCCACAAACTGTTCATTTCAGTGTAGACAGTGTTAACTAATTTACTGGTTTATTTGCTACGTGAACAGATCATACAAAGTTAGCAAAAAAAGCCTAATTTACTGGCCCTCAACCCTGGAGTGCCTCATGGCTCAGTATTTGGTCCTTTATTTTTTTCTATCAACATCAGATCACCCTGCATTGCCATCTAATCAGAGTTTAAATTTGATTCCTCCTCCTCACTGGCCCAGCAGATTTAGTCAAATAACCCCTTCAAGTTCATACAAAATACTTTCGGTCGAGTTGTAATTAACCTCTGTTGTAATTAACCTCTTTCGTGTCACTAACCTACTCCACAGATACATTTGGGCAGTACTTAATGGACTGTCTGTGTCTAGTGACTCGTCTTTACTGACCTCATCTAGCACTTAGACATCTGAACTGCATCAGCAATGTTTTAGCATTCTTATATTGTGTTGTTCTTCTTGTTGCCCTTGAGATCTAACTTAGCACTTGATTTCTTAGTATTCTCGGCCACAGTTCCAGCATTTGGCATATACATGATATGTACATATGAATTCATAATAGGACGAAAAAGAAATGAAGATTTATAATATATGAATATAAATATAAAGACAAAGACAATAATAAAACCCATCAGTAACATTATACAATACATTTTATGGGAGACCACAGCGAGTAGTATTAGAGCAATATATTGCACAAATGTCTTTTTTTATAGCAGTGATTTTTGGTTTCCTCCGAACTAAAATTTTGGTAACCTTATTTTGGTAACACTTTAGTTTAGGGACCAATTCTCACTATTAACAAGTTGCTTATTAACATGCATATTGGCTGTTTATTAGTACTTATAAAGCACATATTAATGCCTTATTCTGCATGACCATATTCTAGATTCCTTAATGCTACACAATACCAAAACTTTTTGGTAAAAAAAGTACCTTACTAACTATTAATAAGCAGCAAATTAGGATTTTAGTGAGGCAGTAGTAGTTAATAGTTAGTTAAAAGTGAGAATTGGTCCCCAAACTAAAGTGTGAGCCATATTTTTAGTATAGCTGTATTTTTAGCTGTATTTTTTAATAAAAGCAATAAAACTATATATATATATATATATATATATATATATATATATATATATATATATATATATATATATAT